TACTGGCAATTTTTTTATTTCATAAAACACCGGTTTGTATGTTGTTTAATCCTTTTGTTTTGCGGGGACACAGGAAGTGTCCTCATAAACCATATATACCAGTACACACACACACACACACTTGCATTTGTGGTTTACGGGGGACTCTCCATAGGTGTAATAATGGTTTTTATACTGTACAAACTGTATTTTCTATCGCCCTACACCTTAACCTACCACTTACAGAAAACTACTGGCAATTTTTTTATTTCATAAAACACCGGTTTGTATGTTGTTTAATCCTTTTGTTTTGCGGGGACACAGGAAGTGTCCTCATAAACCATGTTTACGCTCACCTTATCCTTGTAATACCGGTCATACCTTTGTCATTATACAAATTTATGTCCTTATTTGTCACAAAAACGCGCACACACATGTATGCAAATACAAGAGCTAATCAGGAGCTAATCAGAATGGACTTGTAATGTTGGCTATCAGTACATATGTTTGTATATCAGTACAGTACTTATGTCACTTTCTTTACTTAGCCTATGTATTTTACTTATATGTTACATGTTTGGTTCATGGGATTCTGTATTTGGCACATGTAAACACTGTCACATTCTTTACTCAATGTATAATATAGTGTGCATAATAAAATAATTAAAACATATAAAATCAAGTATACTTCGATTGTCCACATTCTGCTGTTTTAAGAATGCATCGCCTATTTTAAAGGTATGAACTACTCAACCCATAAAGCATTGCAGATGACATTATCAAATTTACTGGCTACAAATGTAATGCAAACTATTTATATTTTAAAGTTGCTTATGAGTACAGATCTACTTAATTTCAGTGATCCCAGTTTCCATGTTAACAGTGATGCCTCTGTTGGATCAGATCTATCTTCAGCATTATGTAGTAGGTGGTGAATTTATGTCTTCTACAGAAGAATGAACTATCTCAGAGTTCACTGACTGTCTTGAAAGGCTTATTTGGCTTATTTTTTTACATTTCTGGAACCCTACTGTTGCGCTCTCTTGTCTTTAAGATCGAGAGAACTAGAATAAAACTGACGATCTGACATGTCACGCAACCTTTCGCTCAACAACTCTAATACACACACATGAACATCACACACAGCCTCTAGAGGAGCTTTCATTGGAAGTCTTGCTGTCACATTATTAATGATTCATCTTCCTGACTACCATTCCGAAGTGAATTATTGATGAATACACTCCTTGAATATGGACGGATCAACACTTGCTTGATTTCTTGTCATTTTAGTGCTGACAATGGGTCTAGTCTCAGTTTACATAATCTTTACAGCGGAAAAAACACAACAGGAAGTTTCCACCTATGTTGCCTTGAAGAATTCCCATAAAAATCACAGCATGAATCTGTCTCCTCCTTTCATCTATGCTATTTCCGTGACATGCTTGTCCTTTCTCAGTTTGTACAAAACGAGCAAAAATTGCATTCATAGAAATCCACTTACAATGGAAGTCAATGGGGAAAGGCATTCTGGACAGTTTAAGAGCAGAAATATAAAGCTTATATATTTGGTTACTGACCCTCATGTTATGCCAAACCTGACATTCTATCTTTTGCAGAACACAAACAGATTGATTTTGATTTTTTTTTTAAATCCATATGAGGTCCAAAACAATTAACACTGACATTAATTTTACATGTTTTTTTTTTTTTTAAAACATACATTTTGTCAAAACACTTTTGCAATAACACTAAACCATACAGGTTTGGAACAAAATTACATTTAATTTTTTTTCAAGGAAAACACGGAGACTCGGAAAGGGGTACAGGCTAAACAATACTCAGCAGAGAAATGTGGTTAGAGTGGGTGTCATATAGTGAGTGAGGTGATTAGAAACAGCTGTGTGCAATGAGTGCAATCAGTGCAGTGTTCAAATCGTGCAAAGAATGATGGGATATGTAGTCCGGGGTGCTATGCAACAGTTTGTGTTGTACGAGAGTCAATGTAATGGAAAGGGTGACCTCTGGTGGTGAATAAACGGAAGTCCATGGACCGAATTCGTGACAATTATTGTGTTATATGAGAAATAATAAAAAATACACAAAATACAATAAACACTTTTAATAATAAAACACATTTTAATCAAGAATTTTATGACAATGGTACTTTATGAACCGCTTCATTAAACAATCTTTTTGAAAGAACTAATTAGCAAAAATGAGAGTTTAAATTCTTGGCTTTTCAGAATTAATTCCAGTTCTTCCAAGGCCAGTGTCGTATTATTTACCAACATGTCCCTGTTTCTGCATAACATCCTTAATAGGGGAAATGCTTTAAATTACAACATTGTCTTTATATTATAATGCTGTTGTTTTGGTAGTACTGTAGATGGCTCTCCCAAGCTGTTTACAACATTGTTAAGCGTTTTTGAATGTTTTCACATTTTAGAATGTCCAATTACCAACGCAAAAACATAATGCAAGCGTCAGTGTTTTTCCATAACCACATATTACTTTAGCAATAGCTGCATCATTCTACCCACAGAAGTCATGAATCAAACATTTTATTGTTTTATTCATGCCCTAAAGCAATGTTAAAACAAGTTTGGATCTAACACTCCCAAACAAAACCATTTCTGAGCCTGCTGACCCCCCGTGACCTTCAACCATCAGAACTCTGCGCTTAAATGCGATTAGATGAGTGACAATTCACAGTCAGGGATTTGTGCATATAAAAATGAGATTATTTAGCATCACGGCAGGGCAGATGAGAGTAATTGTAACAGTTCCTCTAGGAAACACATTACTAAACCCATTAAATTAATGACAGTCTCATACAGTAAAGTAGCTTTGGTGTATTATTTCATTATAATTTGTGCAGTTTGCTAAGCATAACTATTATTATTAAACATTAAAAGGATCTGGGTACTCATATTTTAATGTTCCTTCTTTAAGTCATGTAGTAAACAATAGGTTAACAGTTAAATGTGGGTATATTCAGTAAACAATAGCTCTGACCTTGTGGTATTGACCTTCCACCATGACAAACCACTCTTTGTGTGTGTTTCTATGAGAGACAGAGATAGACAGTTGACACACCCTGAATGAGTTTGACGTAACTCTTTCAGACCAGAAGATGTTTAAAAATTCAGCACTCATTTGAAAAGGTTTCTCCTCTGAAACATTAATGCTGTAAGATATGATGGTTATTTATGGTACGGGAGTTGGGCCTATCGGGTGACGTGTTGTGAATTGCAGCTACTGTCCAGGTCAGATAAATAATTACTTGACTAAGAGATGCTGTAACTTTTTTATGATCACTCTCGCTTGTTAATCATTTTAATCATATTAAAAGTATAGATGCCTATACTTGTTTGTTCATGAGGTTATAGACTGTGTTTGGGCTAGAAAAGAAAAGAACATTTGGAAAATTTGGTTTATTAAACTATATATATATATATATATACACATATATATATTTATTACCAGTCAAGTAAGATTTTTAATGTTTTTTAAATAATTATCTTCTGCTCACCAAGCTTGTATATTAATATATATATTCATATATTATTAAAATTATCTACAAAACATATTTGTTTCATAAGTCAAATGTTGAATCTTATTTTCTATTTTTAACAAGATTATAGTATTTGATTTAAGTATACTTTTTTAAAGCTTTAATTTGATGCTTCGTGGACACAGAACCAGTGGTATTTTAATATGACCACATTTGTACACTATTTTTCAATGTACACTTTTATTTTAATTTATAAAATGTTTTTTTAGTACCTTTACTATGTCTCTGTTTAGCTTTAATTTATTTTTATTTCAATTGTAGTTTTGGAAATTTTAGCACTTAAGCTATATTGTTATTATATTCAGTATGTTATTATTTAGTAGTTGCTAAGGCAACATTTCTCATTTTGGGTTTAGTATTATTTTAAGTTTTCATCTTTATATTTGATTTCAGCTTCATTTCAAGTTTTTATTTACAATAACAACACCGCACAGAATCAAAAATCTAAAACTTAAACTAAATTTAAACCTAAAAGTAGTTCACCCTAAAATAAAATTTGTCATAATTTACCTGATTGTTCTATATCTGTATCATTTATGAAACAAACATATATATAAAGAAACAACATATAACATGTATTAATAAAGAAGAGAACAAAGAATAGGGTCAGATAATTACCAACCACTGCGTTTTTGATCAGATTAATTTTGTAACATTTTGTCTCAGTATATAATATATATATATATACAGTGGTGTGAAAAAGTGTTGGCCCCCTTCCTGATTTCTTATTTTTTTGCATGTTTGTCTCACTTTAATGTTTCAGATCATCAAACACATTTAAATATTAGTAAAAGATAACATCTGAAACATTAAAGTGTGACAAACATGCAAAAAAATAAGAAATCAGGAAGGGGGGCCAACACTTTTTCACACCACTGTGTATATATATATATATATATATATAAATATGTGTGCATATTTAGTATGGTGTCTCATCTACATATTTATGTGTGTGAAATCAGAATATACTTTAAATATAATTATACTTTTTTTTAAATTATACTTTAAAATGAATGGAAAGAAAATATTTGACCACCTGTAGTACCGCCCCTAAATGGCTGAGACTCGCGTCCCGCTCCTCGCTCTCTCTCTCTCTCTCTCTAGTCTCATCAGTGTAAAAATTCTGGTGAAAATGTGAATATGGTAACTCTGTTTAAGTCTTTAGTGGAGTCAAGAGTGGTGATTGAATATAATTATTATCAGCATACTAATAATGTCCTTTATTTTGAGTGGAAATGGGGTGTTGGGGGGGTACTGGTGACAGTGTGTGATTCAGGGAATTTGGTTTTTAATTGGTGATGTGTAGGAATGTTATGTTTGTACTGGTTATATAATTAAAGTGGTTGAAAAGTCAAAGTCTCTCTCGCTCCTCTCCCTCTCTCTCTCTCTCTCGCGCTCCTCCCTCTCTCTCTCTCCCCCTCTCCCCCTCTCTCTCTCTCTCTCTCTCTCTCTCTCTCTCCAGATAAATGTGCTCGAGGGTTGAGTGACTGACTGAGTGAATGTGTGTGTCGCGCAGATTACTAAAGAGGAATCCACGGACCGAGAGCGCTCGGCGCCGCACCGCAACCCGCGACACAATGTAGCAAACCGAAACGCCGTAATCGCACATGAGGGTCCAGTTTGAGCGGTCCGGACCGAAGTGAACTGAACTATGCCCAGCGCCGAGAGAACTTTACCTGAACTCGAGAGGAACTCTTTCTTACACTGCGAAATGGTAGTTATGCTTGAGTCTTTTTAATCCATCCATGCAGCACGTTACCTAACCCTGACACCGTGCATGATATCGTCTGATCAAATGTGTTTCTGCAGTTTATGGCTCCTGAGAAGATGTTGTCTTTCCTGTGCTTCCTCGAAATATCTTTATTTTTACTATAGTAATACTACTGTAACCAGTATTGTTTTGATGTAAACAAGGGTTTTGTTACAATGGTTTTGTTCACGTACCGCGATTTTACTGTCTTTTACATACATGATATGGTACTGCTGTCGTGTTGTTTTATTTGCTTAGTTATCATTACTGTGGTTTTACAAGGTTTAAATGTATTAAGGGTCTTAATGTATTAACGTTCATTGCATCTACAACTTATATAGCCTATATACACCTACTACAGTAATATAATATCTCTGTTAAACCCTTAAAAATGGCAACATATACCTAAAAAAAAAATTTACTGCTATTTTCAGAAACGGTAGGGCTTGGTTTCCTAAATGTTTTCGAAATAGTGCTTTAATTCAAATATTATAGTTTGTATATCTCACAAAAGTAACATTTACCTCAAGGTTAGTTAATTACATTACCGTTCAAAATTTGGGGTCAGTAAGATTTTTAAAAAGGAAAAGAAATTAATACTCCGGATGCAATACATTGATTTAAACAAAAAGTGACAGTAAAGACATTCACAATCTATTTCAGATAAAGGCTTATCTTTTTAACTTTATATGCGTCCGTGAATCAAGAAAAAAAGTATCATGGTTTACACAAAAAATATCGATAATAATAAGAAATGCTCGTTGAATGTCAAATCAGCATATTAGAATGATTTCTGGAGGATCATGGAGTAAAGGCTGCTGAAAATTCATCTTTGCCATTACAGGAGTAAATTACATTTTAAAATATATAAAAACAGAAAACAATTATTTTAAAATTGTAATAATATTTCACAATACTTTTTTACTGTATTTTTCATGAAATAAATGCAGCCTTGGAGAGCACAAGAGACTTTTCGAAGTCTCTCACCAACCTCACATTTTTGAACTGTAGTGTTCATGCCTGAGACATTTAAATTATTTGCATGCATGATCTATGATCTATAAATCCAAAAGGGAATGCCAGTGGAATTTCTATCATAAATTGGAACCAGTTCTAAAAGCATTAGATGGGATTCTACTATTTATTTAAAATTTCTTGTTTTTTTATAATTATTTAAAAATTTTAATTAAAGTTTTTTTTTTTTTTGTAACTAGGTCTGGTATAAACAAACATCATAAAAATATGTAAAGAGTAGTAAAGTACTTCAGTAATGCTGAAACTACTGTTGAAACTGTGTCTCTCTCCAGAGAGTGTGTTCAGAGGCCATTGGATCAAATGATACTTAACCCCAGTTAGACCATTTACGCTGGTGTTTGCCGTAAAGGAATGAGTTAATAGCGATGCTTCAGCATTCATGAAAATCTAAATTCCAAGTATCTGTTGCACACACGCCGATACCACATTGAAATGCGTTTGAAACACTGGGGTGATGGTGGCGTGCTGGGGCATGTGCTCGGGTCTTGAGTTGGGCTGTTGTAAGCAGAACAAGTGCTTCTGTGTCCAACGTACGTGTGTGTGTGTGTGTGTGCGCGTGTAGACCCCAGACCCCTGGCACTAAAACAGTGTGTGTGCCAGACTGATGCTGTTGCCACTTTGTTAAAAGAACGTGTTGGTTTTTCATGCTAAACCTAAAGAGTGTTTGTGTACTTTTAATGGAAGAAAATGAGTGCATTAGCAGCATATGCATCAGTCTGTGTGTTTAAATGAGGTTCTTGGAGGAAATACATTTACGTGCTGTTAGCACAGATGCGTGATTTAGAGAATGGAGGGGTCTCTGATAGACTTAATTGATTGTTTTGAATGTGTCTGCCAGTGCATTATTAAGCCTGGCGTTAATGGAGAGAAAGACCGTAAAGCACATTTGATTAGCCTTTCGTAATTGAATTGCTTTACGTGTACGCTTTGATGTATCATAAACGTGTTGCGTTAGTGAAGCTGCCTTTATGGATCTCCCCACTGGATGAAGTGATGGAGTATTGATTAAATGACAGATCAAATGGAAACATATGTTGAGTTCGTATGACTAATGCTTAAGTGATGCTATAAGCATTGTGTTTTGCCACTTTGGGGCTCCTAAAAACATAAACACATTTACAGATCTATCATCGACCTGTATTGGTTTTACATTCATTTACTTGCATTTCAAAATGAACGGTTGATTCTTTGAACATTTTGGTTGATTTCTGCTTGTCAAGCTTTTAATGAACTAACTGGCTGACAGATGTTTTGTGGAAATTGCAAGAATGACTTGATGGGTATAGCAGTAAGAATGGGTTGAAAATGTCAGTATTTTTCTGGGGGGATATGTGCATTTTTATTTTATACATTGTGTTATGAAGGTAACAGAAAGTGATGTAACCATCCACAAAGTATTAAATAGCAATGTAACACTTTAGAATAGGGAACAATTCTCACTTTTAACTAGTGGCTTATTAGCATGCCTATTATTAACATATTGGCTGTTTATTAGTACTCATAAAGCACTGCATGAGCATATTCTACATTCCTAATCCTACCCAATACCTAAACTTAACAACTACCTTACTAACTATTTATAAACTGCAAATTAGGAGTTTATTGAGGCAGAAGTCATAGTCAATGGTTTGTTAAAAGAACGTGTTGGTTTTTCATGCTAAACCTAAAGAGTGTTTGTGTACTTTTAATGGAAGAAAATGAGTGCATTAGCAGCATATGCATCAGTCTGTGTGTTTAAATGAGGTTCTTGGAGGAAATACATTTACGTGCTGTTAGCACAGATGCGTGATTTAGAGAATGGAGGGGTCTCTGATAGACTTAATTGATTGTTTTGAATGTGTCTGCCAGTGCATTATTAAGCCTGGCGTTAATGGAGAGAAAGACCGTAAAGCACATTTGATTAGCCTTTCGTAATTGAATTGCTTTACGTGTACGCTTTGATGTATCATAAACGTGTTGCGTTAGTGAAGCTGCCTTTATGGATCTCCCCACTGGATGAAGTGATGGAGTATTGATTAAATGACAGATCAAATGGAAACATATGTTGAGTTCGTATGACTAATGCTTAAGTGATGCTATAAGCATTGTGTTTTGCCACTTTGGGGCTCCTAAAAACATAAACACATTTACAGATCTATCATCGACCTGTATTGGTTTTACATTCATTTACTTGCATTTCAAAATGAACGGTTGATTCTTTGAACATTTTGGTTGATTTCTGCTTGTCAAGCTTTTAATGAACTAACTGGCTGACAGATGTTTTGTGGAAATTGCAAGAATGACTTGATGGGTATAGCAGTAAGAATGGGTTGAAAATGTCAGTATTTTTCTGGGGGGATATGTGCATTTTTATTTTATACATTGTGTTATGAAGGTAACAGAAAGTGATGTAACCATCCACAAAGTATTAAATAGCAATGTAACACTTTAGAATAGGGAACAATTCTCACTTTTAACTAGTGGCTTATTAGCATGCCTATTATTAACATATTGGCTGTTTATTAGTACTCATAAAGCACTGCATGAGCATATTCTACATTCCTAATCCTACCCAATACCTAAACTTAACAACTACCTTACTAACTATTTATAAACTGCAAATTAGGAGTTTATTGAGGCAGAAGTCATAGTCAATGGTTTGGTAATAGCAAGAATTGGACCTTAAAATAAAGTGTGACCAATAATAAATGTAAATACGTTTTAAAATAAGAAACGTAATATTTTTGGTGTTTGGACCAGTGAAAATGTTGGCAGGCATGTAGGAATTTGGCCTACTAACCTGGGGTGTGTTTCCCAAAAGCATCGTTAGCTAACTATGGTAGTTAGTTCCATTGAAATTGGTAACGACGGAACTTGCGACCATAGTTGCTTTTGGGAAACGCACCCCTGAATCGGTAAGCAGAGAAAATCCTTATTGTTGTGTTCTGCTAACGTCTAAAAAAAACAAAAACTTAAATCAATTATTTGTATCTTTGAGAATTTCTCCAAAAGGAGAAATTTTGACATAACTTATGGGGACAATTTTGTCCCCAAAATATAGCTACTAGATGCACGCAAACACTTGAGAATGTAGTTGTTGTTCTGGGGACGTTGTGGTGGTCATGGGTGTTCTGCATTCCTGTTGTTTCCAGGGTAACCCATAGAATCCCCCCTCGACCCCCTCACCAGCGTGTGAAGCATGTCTGAATATTGGACTGATGCAATGCTTAAAAAAACTAGAACGCTCCCATCAGCGGTGCTGTTCACGTCAGTTGCTTGCAGTCCTGACACACTCTCTCAGTCTCACTCAGAGTTATTAGTGTTTCTGTCCCTGTTGTGACACTGTCCGATGTGGCCATAACCTACTGCTTAGGGATGCACCGATATGAAAATTTTGGCCGATACCGATATGGTGGCCGATATATCGTGCATCCCTACTACTGCTGTACTATTATGTGTGTGTGTGCCACAAATAAGATTGTGGAACTGGCTGTGCCCCAGAATGCTCTCTGCGAAGACAAGATTTGTGGATGAGGGTGGATCTGGTATTTTATCTCCCTACTATATTGGAAGAGATCTACGATGTGTGTACTGGTGGGAAACAAATTAAAGGAATGGTCCGGGTTTAATAAAATTGAAGTCCTATGGACAGCATCTGACGTTGTTGATTTCTACAGAAAGCAATTGAGACGCGTCACAGAGTTTGTAAAAGCAAACAAAAGGGGGCTTCACAGTAATGAACTTACAATGGAAGCATACAGGGGAAAAACATTCCTTTGGAATGTTAAAATATGTATTCTGTGAATTGATTTATGAGTGTAAAATTGCCTATTAATCTTGTATGCGCAAAGTCATTTAACTTATATTGTGGCCATGTAAAGACACCAACCACACAAATTTGCACAATATGGTTAGTTCACTCCAAATAATTATATGAATATATGAAATTA